AGAGCTTATGTGAGAGGTCTTCAGAAAATTGATAGAAAGATTCATATTATCTCGTAATTCCATTTTTTCCGTGAACTTTTTGAAGTACCCTCATATAATCTATAAGATATATAGTTATAGGATTTCTTAATTCCAGGAATGTCTGTTTTGGGTTATAAGACATAGACTGATTTATGTAGTCTGATACAAAGAATCAGGTTATACTGATTCAGGTGTTTATGCTTATAAAGATAGTGGTGATTGTTTCAACTCATTTAGGTGGCATCCACCTCAGTATCTGTGCTGTTGACACAGCACCAAGGCTCCTGAGCATAGTGCCTCAGGGGAAGTTGCAAATAAGTTTCATAAAAAAAAAGTCTCTCCTCTTGCCTTCCATTTCTTTTGTTTATTTGTTTTCTTTTGTAATTATTAGCTTTGCTTTATATGTTTTTAAATGTAAGGGAAATTTGGAAGGCTGTTTTTTCATTCATCAGAAGCTAGTGAGTGTCTGCTATGTGCCAGCCACTCCTCTAAGTGACGGGGAACAGCTGTGAGCAAGACAGACCTGCTCTGCCCATGGGGTTCCCATTTTGGTAAGCAGCATGCACACAAATGAACAAGGGACCTTTGTTAGCACTAAGCGTCAGGAAGAAAATAAAGCAGAATGACATGACGCTGATGGAGAAGGAGCTTCTTTAGATGGGGTGGACTCTGGGGTCGTGACATTTTAGCTGAGAGCCTAACGTCTGGGAAGACCACCGGAACATTAGAAGTCGACTGTGAGAAGAATTCTGGGCAGAGACAATAGCAGGTACAAAGGGCCTCAGGTGGGAATAAGATCAGCCTATTTGTAGAAGTTAAAAAAAAAGCCGAGTATGGCAGGGAGCAGACTGGTGTGGGTGGCACTGGAGGTGAATCAGAGGCGTGTGGGCCAGGGCGAGGTGGCACTCCCTCATCCCTGTGGTCAGTGTGGCTGTTCTGGTGGCTTCAGCAGTTGGCCCCTCTGTCTGCTCCATGTCAGTATTTCCTACAGCCATGTGCTTTGACTTGGCGTATTTAACACATTATGTTGCTGGGAATTTTAAATCTTCAGGTTTGCATTGACATTATAGGAATATAATGAGGACTTGCTTTATCTTTGATTTAATTGTTAAAAGGTTTTATATAGAAGAACGTGTCTTATCATGGGAGGTGTGATAATATGAGGGTACTTCAAAAAGTTTGTGGGAGAATGAAATTGACAGGTAACATGAATCTTTCCATGAACTTTTCGAAGACCTCTCATATGTAGGACGGGAGACAAGACTGATTGAGGCTTTGCAGCAGTAGTCCAAGTAGTTATCATGGGAGGTGTGATAATATGAGGGTACTTCAAAAAGTTTGTGGGAGAATGAAATTGAGAGGTAACATGAATCTTTCCATGAACTTTTCGAAGACCTCTCATATGTAGAACGGGAGACAAGACTGATTGAGGCTTTGCAGCAGTAGTCCAAGTATGCAGCGTCTTCAGAAAGGAAGAGGGAATTATTGGCCCTCTCTGGCTGCTCTCCGGCGGGGAAATAGGATTTCACAGGACTAGGAAACACATTCTCTGTGCATAGGGGAAAAAGGTAGATGTTTTCACAGTAAGCGGTGAGAGGGCAGACGTTAGGAGGTAGCAGCGATTTGTATTTGGTTCTTTTATAATTAGAGATTGTTAAGGTCAGAACTTCCTGTTCTGTTCTTGTTTTTGTAAGAACAGAAGGTGTTTGTGTTCTAAGTGCATCAGTGACCACCACACAGGTCAGTCATGGAAGGTTTTAACTTGTGGTGGAGACTATGGGAGCATCAAAGTGAGCAAGATCAGTGATGGCTCAGGTGACAGGCAGACCTCAGGAGGCTTCATTCCAGCTCGTCTTTGGAAGAGGTTGTTGGAAGCAGAAGAATAAGCCAGAAGATGGATTTGAGAACCCAAAGGTGCCCTGTGCAGACACCTTGCTGGAGTTAAAAGATTCTCTTAGTATGTTAAAAAAAAATGTTGAGCTGAAACAAACATCTTTGTGAGTGTTGACAAGCCTTTAAAGCTGGGCTTTTCTTTTCCCTTGGGTCTATGTGGGTCTAAGTCCCAGGGTACTGGAACCACTCCTCACAGGCTTTCGTCTCCAGGGAAGGCCACCCTGCATGGTGGGTTGTTGGGCAGCCACACAGTCCCTGATTTTTGCCAGGTGGGGTGGAACTCCCAGCCAACCCGAGCCGTGATCTTCGAAGACTGTGCTGTCCCTGTGGCTAACAGAATTGGGAGCGAGGGGCAGGGCTTCCTCATCGCCATGAAAGGACTGAACGGAGGGAGGATCAACATTGGTGAGGACACGTGCACAGGCAGGGAGGCCGCAGGCTGAGCACGTGCCTTCCTTTCTGCTCACTTGGCCCATTGGCGCCTCCTCCCCAGCTTCCTGCTCTCTGGGGGCTGCTCATGCCTCGGTCATCCTCACCCGAGACCACCTCAGCGTCCGCAAGCAGTTTGGAGAGCCTCTGGCCAGTAACCAGGTATGTCCAGCTGTCTGTGCGTTTGTTTTCCACTGTTTGCAGCCTTGGAGACCTGCTGTAGGGCCCGTGCTCTCTGGAGAGAAGCCATGATGTTCCTTGTGGAGTCCTGCCACCATCTTAGCCAGAACTTGTGTGTTGTTTCTACCAATGACATTTATCAGGAGGTAATAGTATTAAAGTGCAGGGTGAGTATAGTGGGCGTAGAACCTACAAAGCAGTAAATGTTCTCTGTAGAGGAGGCAGGAGACCTTGATGCTTTGGACCACTTAGTAAAGATACTTCATTAGAGATGTCCTATCAAGGGTCCCAGGTCAGGTGCCAGTTTAAGCCCTTCTGTCTTGTCTGGTTCTCTTCTCCCTGTTGCTACAGTACCTGCAATTCAAACTGGCTGATATGGCAACAAGACTGGTGGCCTCGCGGCTGATGATCCGCAGTGCAGCAGTGGCTCTGCAGGAGGAACGGCAAGATGCAGTGGCCCTCTGCTCCATGGCCAAGCTCTTTGCTACAGATGAATGCTTTGCTGTAAGTGATCAGCCCTCTGGCTCTCCTGGGGTGGATGGGGAGCAGCTGGTAGGCCCAGGGATGTTGAGAGGCATAAGTTAGCTTTGGAATCTAGCCCTGCTGGGATGCTACAGGGATCCCCTTGGGGCTTAAGGATATAACTCATGAGATGCCTGCATGGGAGCTCTCATGGCCGGCTTTGTAGCCTGCCCCATGCCGTTACACGCTTCATCATGGCGCTGTTGTTTAGTTCTGATCTCAATGAAAACACTGCCTTTGGAAGTTTCACAGCAGCTCAGTGCCTCTTGCCCAAATTTAGCACTATGCTACGTTTACATCGTCAGGGGCAAAGCCATCCCACATTGCCACCAGGTGGCACCTTAGCTTCATATAATCCCAGCAAGGGGTGGTTGTGAGCAGCTTCTCCCCAGGAGATAATAAGCCAGAAAGGTAGAGAGGTCTTTGAGTTCCCTGCCTGGTGAGAACTGACAAGTTCAGTAAGTTGTCTCTGACCACACAGAATACAGAGTCCCTCTGAGCTTGGCTGGTTATCTGTGGGTTGTTCTTCCTTTCATTAGTTTATGGCAGACTGCCAGATTGGGGGTTGGGGTAGGGAGGAAGCCACTTGCTCCATAGTCTTCCCAGAATGAAAGAGATCTAACCCGTTTTACTGCAGATCTGCAACCAGGCTTTACAGATGCATGGAGGCTACGGCTACTTGAAGGATTATGCTGTTCAGCAGTATATGCGGGACTCCAGGGTCCACCAGATTCTAGAAGGTAAAAATTCCCAGAGGTTATCATCTTTCTTTCAGAGCAGTTACAGATTACAGGATCAATGCTTTCCCCAGCCTGTCTGTCCCCATGCTGACTGGCACTCAGGGTCCCATCAGTCCTGTCTGTCTGTTGGTTTCCTCTTTCCTGGCCCCAGCCCTGCTCTGGAAGTCAGCTATCAGTTTACTAGCAAGAGCACTGGCCTGGTAGTCAGGGGACCCTGCTTCATCTCTCTGGGAAGGCATCACGTCACTGTGCTTCTGCTCTCTCCAGATCGGAGGGAAGCTCCAAACTAAGCTCATGTGTGGGAACACACGTTGAAAACTGTGGTTTTGTCTTATTGTCATAAAGTACCTGTCCCTCGGACCCAGAACTGTGTCTAGTAATTTACAGAGCAGATGTGAGCCAGTATGATCCCCAGCAGCTGTACAAGTTGATTATCAGCCAGACAGTCTAACAGATATCTGTATCAACATTGCTAGTGGATTTTTCAATAAAAATCGTCAGTCTGTGGGCATCTTCTTGGTAGTCAGAGACATTCTTTTTTTTTTTAAAGATGACCGGTAAGGGGATCTTAACCCTTGACTTGGTGTTGTCAGCACCACGCTCAGCCAGTGAGCGAACCGGCCATCTGTATATGGGATCCGAAGCCGGGGCCTTGGTGTTATCAGCACCGCACTCTCCCGAGTGAGCCACGGGCCGGCCCCTAGTCAGAGACATTCTGTCTGGGAAATGTGTACTCAATTTTAGTCAGGGTCCGAGCATGGTCTTCTTGACCTTCTACAACCAGTGCCTAAGTCTTGAAATTATATGACCCTTGAAACTATGTGAGCCTAGGTAACTGGAGTAGTCACACTGCAGGAGAAGCAGGTGGGACAGAGGCTGCTCTGAGTAACTTCAGTGACACAATGTGGGGCCACTTTAATGGAGACTCAGGAGGAGCCTGTAAGCTAAAAATGAAGCAAACAATTGATCCCCTCCTTTCAGGGAAAATGTTTTTATTCTTTTAAAATTTAGTTCTCTGTACAGTAAAGAAATATGTATTTATTTGTTAAAAAATTGTAAAATAGAAAAAGTAAAAGAAAAAATCACTCACGTTTACACATCCAGAATTAATATTTGGCATATCTACTTTTGGACTTTTTTCCTATGATTTTGTAGGTACTTTTTTAAAAATTAGAATTATACTATAAAACTATTTTTATTTTGCCTTTGTTTATAAGCATTTTTTACTATCAGGAGAGGCTTTTAGAAAAATATTATTTATTTCCTGACATTTCTCTGTACTTTGGGAAGAAGTTTTGATATTTCCACCCTCCCCAGGAATAAAAGCCACAATTCCAGTTTAAGTCCACAGCTGCCCGTGACTGGACCTGGAGAGCCCACGCAGAGCTTTAGCAAGCTCCCAGACTTTGCTGCTGCTGTACCCGCCCTTTTCTCCCTCTGGCAGGTAGCAATGAAGTGATGAGGATGCTGGTCTCTCGAAGCCTCCTCCAGGAGTAGCACCACACTTGGTACTCTGACATGGTGTCAGTGGTTCCGCGTGGGTTCTTGTGTTCCAGAGGAATCAGAATTAGACTGAGGGCTGAGTTCTTCTAGGTGGGACCTGCACTCTGCATGTTGGCAGCAGCATCGGCTATCAGACTCGAGCAGAGTCCTTGGAAGAACTGGAAGAGCTGCCTGATGAGAAATGTCAAAGAAGACCTTGATTTCCCTAATGCCAGGAAGGTGACCAGTGAAGACCACCTTCAAAACAAAGTCCTTTTTGTGACCAGCTTTGTCTTGATTTGTGTGCGTTTTGCTGGTTCACTGGATCCCTCTTCTAGCGGCCTGGGTCCTTCCACTGGAGGAAAAGTGCCCTCCTGTCTGTCCCTGTTCTCTGCGCCACAGCTAGAGATGCAGAAGTTGTCTCTGGACAGCCTCCTCTGTGCATAAATCATAATGAGATGAATATTTGGGAAACTACTTGTGAGCTGTGATTTGGGTGCATTTCCACTTCTGGAGTGCCTGAATGTCAAGGGCTGAGATAATTCAGAATTTTGAATATTTGTTGTTGGGTTTTTTGTTTGTTTTTTAGAAGCCTATGTATCCAGGGATTCTATAACCCTTCCTGATAAGTACTTTTAGTATATTTTTTTTCTGAGTTTTTGTTTTCTTTTTTGAAGTTGGAACTCTTTAAATATTTTTAATCACTACATTGATAAATAAAATTTACCCCTTTCCGTACTGTCTCTGGTTCTACTAAAGTTGGTTTTCATTATATCTTTTTAGCTAAGTCTTTATAATTGTTTTTAAAATTGTTATATTTGATTAAACATTTAATTAGATTTTGAAGTAATAATCAAAAGTCTTTCCTTGGGGCCAGCCCGGTGGTGCACTGCTACAGTGCGCCGCTTGGGAGCGCGGCGGCGCTCCCGCCGAGGGTTCAGATCCCACATACAGACCGGTTCCGCTCACTGGCTGAGCGAGGTGCGGGCGCAACACCGAGGGTTGCGATCCCGTTGCCGGTCCCGGTCCGGTACGGGCGTGACACTGAGGGTTGCGATCCGTTGCCGGACACGAAAAAAGACAAAAAGAGGAGAAAGAAAAAAAAAAAAAGTCTCTCCTTGACCAATCTGGCTTTTAAAAAGCAGGCCCCTTAAATTATTAATAGCTTTGCAAACTAAGTGTTTTTATGATGTATGAAAGTAGGTTTAGAGTAATATTCAAAGATGGAGACTTGGGCCGGCCCGGTGGCGCAATGGATAGTGCGCCGCTTGGGAAGCGCGGCGGCGCTCCCGCCCGAGGGTTCGGATCCCACATACAGACCGGTTCCCGCTCACTGGCTGAGTGAGGCGCGGGAGCAACACTGAGGGTTGCAATCCCGTTGCCAGTCCCCGGTCCGGTACGGGGGCAACACTGAGGGTTGCGATCTGTTGCTGGACACGGAAAAAGACAAAAAAAAAACAAAAACAAAGATGGAGACTTTTTGGGAAACCCTGTTATAAACTATGACTATATTACTCTATCCCCTCCCCTCTACAGAAAAAAATATGCAATATATTTTAACTACAAGTCAATATTTAGAGAAAACAAAATATGTCCAACTAAAACAAATATTCTCTTTTGAATGCACAGTCTATGTTTGGAACGGTGTTGGGCACTGCAGGGAGATAGGGCGAGGGTATAAAAGTTTGAAATGTGTTTCCACCACCCAAGGCCTTGTTTAATACAGGAGCTAGAACTAAGATACAGCTGTAGTGCAAGGGAACAATCGATATGTCTACGTAAGATTGAGAGGGTGACCTAGCAAAAGTGATAAGGCATGAAGGGATTCACAGAGAAGGTAGGAATTCAAACTGAGCTTTTATGAAAATGTGTGATATTTAAAGAGAATGAAGAAAAGAACCAGGAGCAGGAAGAGTACAGAATTTGTGTGGGAGCTGTTTACACTTTTGTTTAATTGTGGCCTGGGGTTGGCATGGAACAGAAAGAAACGAAAGTTGAGTCTGCATGGAGAGTTATGAAAGCCAAGGAGGGGGAGTTATTTGGCAAGCAGTGAAGAGCAGCCAGGGGGCGTTTCTAATGAGGAAGATATGAGACGTTAATCCATTCATGACATTCTGGAGTGCATATTCAGGATGAATGTGAGTGGGGAAAGACGGAAGGTAAGACACACGCAGGCAACAGGTCCTTGAAATATGAGGACATGAGGCACTCTGAGCTGGAAGGCAGCAGGAAAGAGCAGATGTGAGTGTGGACCAGTGCTTGGAGTGTCTGCGTGGAAGCTGAAGCCTTCCCTGGTGATCAGGCTGCTTCCTGGCATTCCAATTCGGAGAGGCGCCTGTTCTGACTCAAAGCAAAAACAAATGCTGTATAGGATCCGAACCCACAGTGCCGGCGCTATCAGCACCGCACTCTCCCTAGTGAGCCACAGGGCCGGCCCTAGAATTTAACTTCTGAGTTCTGTAACTCTGTGGTTACAAGCCAGTCAGTTTTATTTTTAGCTTTCTTGTATTAGGAGACTGGATTAAACTGCAGCTTGCAAGCAGTTTCCTGTATTGGTGAGAGATAAAGTTGCCCTCTAGCTGACACTGCAAAAGCCCCCGACCACATTCCACCATCCCCATGAAGCCCACTACCCAAAGTCAAACCACTTGCCAAAGACCCCAATTTACGGAACCTTGCCTGGATACAGACTGAGCCAATAGAAATGCTTGCTTGCTTGTTTGTTCAGGAGGGTATATAAGCTTAGTTCCCCCTGTATTTGGGGCCCGGGTATTTGGGATGCAAGTCCACCTGGGTCTGCCAGCATAATAGACCTGTGTTACTCCGCCCTCTCTGAGTGACTGCATTTCCTCGGCATCTCCTTTCTGCAACGAAATTATAGGGCTTTGACCCTGCTAAAATTAAGGGCTGTAGCCCTACTAAGCTAAAGATTAAGGCCCTGTGAAATACATGTGCTTTATTAATGTTAGTGTACTCCGCAAGTAACAGCCATGTTGAAAACAGCAACTATCAGTGCTGATGGTGGTTTCAGATATCTGGATTTCATTGCCAGCTCTGCCACTAAATGTTTGACTTTAACAAAGTTGCTTAACCCCCCTTTAGCTTGTTTCCTCCTGTGTAAGTTGGAGATAATAAAAGCTCCTGCCTCGTAGGATAGTTGGTGAACTAAGTGAAAGATTCATACAAAGAGATCAGAATACATTGAGGAAAGCACTCTTGACAGGTATTAGAGGCCTTCACCTCATTTACAGATGAACATGGTGAACTGGAGAGTAGTAAGTGGTCTGCTTAGACTTTCACAGGTGGCAGACTGAAGTTTTAAAACACAACTCTTCAAGAACCTTCAAAATACTTAAGATTGCGACTGGTAGTCCAGTACTGCTGAAACCCGATGTTTCTGGTCTGCCTCTCTTCCAGGTAAATGGCAGGACTGAATTTCCTTTTTGCTGATTTCACAAAAATGTATAAGCATACAAGCACATTGCTAAGGTTTCTCCTGGGGTCTTAGGAGGGGCCCACACAGGTTAGGGGCCCAGAAGCTTAACCTTCATCAGCTTCACAGTAAATTTCCCATTGTCCGTACACATTGCTTTGTCTAAACATCTCCATATATATTCTTCTCGCCCAAAATTCATTTTCTCTGGCACTCAGAAAGGCTTGTTATCTGGGTACTGTGGTCAGCAAAAGGCAACGTGAACGAAGGCAGCACAGGTGGCGTCCGCACAGTGGCATGGTACCCACCAGAACAGCAAGGGCAGCCACATCACCGTCTCGACCATTCCAGGGCAGCGGCACCCACTGGCAAGAACAGAAGAGGGACTTGGAGGCCAGAATGCAGAGGGGAGACCCACCGGGCCAGTCTCCAGCTGAAAATCAAATCCCAGAATGAGCCAACGTAGACAAAATGTTCTTTCACTTTGGTGGAAAGCTTGTCGCTACTACCCCTTTGTGGGAAAAGGCAGGGCCCCAGAATCTTCCACCCGCTCCAGGGTGAACTGGATTTCTCTTTCGTTCCTGTGTCAGTGTATGTGATGCTACGTCTGTACAGTTCTTCTTGCCTTTCCCTCCTGGTTTCCTGTTCCTTATCACCCAGTCTCTGGGCCCATAGCCCGGATATCCTAGGCCTGGTGACAGTGCTGTAATGCTCACCTCCTGTCACCACAAGCAAAAAGGACTCTCAGCTCTGCCTCTGGTCAGGCATTTTCAGTCCCCACAGAACAGAAAGGGGGATGATCAGTTCTCCTCACTCCAACAGAGGAGCAGGTACCTCAAGCCTGAGGGGCCGTCACTTCCTTGGGGACTGTGATTTATCCGCAGTGCCATTCTCCTCAGCGTCGGCCCGGCTGTCCTCCACAGCCTCAATACAGGCATTATAGTTCTCTCAAGTTTTTATAGAACTGTGTAACAATTCTCCAAAATAGTCCACTGGACATCTTCCTCAACACTCACCCCGAGGAAGGCCCTGAGCCTTACACACAGAAACTCTGGTCCTCTGCAGAGCACCTGGAAATATCACTGTTCTTCATTTTGTGCATAAGCCAGTTTGTGGGCTTAAGAGTCTCCACCAGACTTCAAGGTCTTCACAGTCAGAGAAACATCTGATTCATGTCTTTGTCCTTAGCACCTTCCTGGCACATAGCAGGGAACTCAGTGTTCGTTGAACAAGTAGAAAAGCAAGTTACTAACTGCAGCTGCTGGCAATTCCTGTGCAGGAGCAGGCAAGACGCTCCATCAGCAGTCAACTAACTGGGCACCCAGAGCTTGCGTGGACCTCCAGGGAGGTCTGGTGAGTGAAGAGGTGAACTCGGCAACTCCGTTTATTGTTATTATTACCATCACTATCACTACATGATCCCAACATGAAGCTTTCTTGAAATAACGCCTGCCCTCCCTGCACTGCAGTTTAGAGCTTGCTTAGTTAGGGGAAAGTCACGCCACCGAGGGTTTGCACCCAGGAAAGGTGGGAGGGCAGGGCAGTGAGGGCGGGTGGTCAGGGCTGGGCTTCACTTTTCAAGTGAGAGGTTCTATGCCTGAGATTGAGAGCCCTGAAGGCAGGTTCAGGGAGCCCCCCTCTCCACAGCACTCCTGGGGGATGCCTGACCAGAGGCAATGCCTCTAGAGGCCCACAGCTTTGAGAGGATGAATGTACCCTCTCCCGACCCCCACAAACAATATTAAACTACAAAAGGGTCTTGTATGTCAAGGAGTTGGATTTTATTACATGGTAACTGGATATCCACATGCAAAAGAATGAACGTGAATGCTTATCTTACACTATACAAAAATCAACTCAAAATGGAAGAAAATCCTAAACTTAAATGGATTAAAGACTTAAATTAAGACTTGGAATTGTAAAACTTCTTGAAGAAAACGGGGAAATCTTTGACGCATTGGTCTTGGTGATAATTTCACGGGTATGACCCCTGATGAACAGACAACAAAAGCAAAAACAGATAAGGGGACGACACCAAACTATAAAAGCTTCTGCACGGCAGAGGACATGTCAGTGGAGTGAAGAGGCAGCCTACGGAATGGGAGGGAGTGTTTGCAAATCACACACCTGATAAGTGGCTAATTTCCAAAACATATGTGGAATTCAACTCAATGGCCAGGATATAAATACCCGATAACAATGGTGATGAGGAGCCCTGGTGGGTTTTACGATGGAGAGAACCTCACAAGATCTGCTCTTCAGCAGGTGTGTCTAACAGAGTAGGACAGGGTGGGGCAGGGGGACTCGTCAGTTGCAGGCATCCAGGAGAGAGGTGCCGGGGCCTGCACCGAGGCAGTGGAGGTGGGAGGCCGT